TTTCTTGATATACACGTGGGCAGGGAAAATCCTCATCACTTCGCTGGCAGGTGTTGTTACGTGAAAAAGAGCTAAGCACTGGCATGATCAGCTTAGGCCAGTTTGCAATCCTTGCTGCCTCCCCAGAGCACTCCCAGGGAGCAGAGCAGGGGCCCTACCAGCCTCGGAACCACAGATCTCTAACATCCTCCTTGCTGGAGAATGCCCTCCCCTTCTCCAACCTTCACGCACAGCCAGAGTAACCAAACTGCCAATGCCGAGACCTCAGAGAACTTACATGCTTTCCTGCCCTACCAAAGCTTTTCCTCTCTCATCTCCTCCATCCACTGCCCTCGCCCCTTCACTCCAGCAGTTTCCTTGTGAAGCCTAAGCCTTCATAGAAAAAGCCAGAAAGGGGGTATCTCTGCGTGGTTTTTGGTCTCTGGCCTCTCCGAGGATCAGGGAGCCCACGAAGGTGGCTCACTTGCTTGGAAAGTGCTGGCTGCCTTGAGTGTTTCCATAGACTGCCCAGACAGGCTGCGCTGGCTAATCTGTTTGCCCTCCACAATCACCCTCCACCCTCCTCCACCCCGCTCTGTGCCCTAAGAGGCTGGGGGAGGGTGGCAGAGTCCTGCTGGGAGACTGATCACCCAGGCACCCTTCTGACTCCCAGTTGGGTTTTGTCAATGGGAGGCGTTAGCCTGAGAGGATGAGAGGAGAAAGAAGTTGGGTGTTTATTTCCCTGCTGGACCACGATTACTTCCCTTTGTCAAAGGACACAGCTGCTGTCAGACAGCCCTTTCTCACCATGACAGCTCTTAGGGATTGGATAGTGTCCCCCCAAAAAAATGCATTGCAGTCCAACAGACAGGACCTTAGAAAGAGACCTTATTTGGAGATACGGTTTACAGCGGTGACCACGTTAAAAGGAGGTCGTTGGGATGAGTCCTAACCCAATGTGACTGGTGTCTTTATGAAAAAGAGAAATGAGGACACAGACACACATAGAGGGAAGACATGCGAAGAGACACGGAGAAGACAGACATCTATAAACCCAGGAGAAGAGAACAGAGCCTTCCCTCACAGTCCTCAGACGGAACCAACCCTGCTGACATTTTGATTTCAGACGCGTTCAAGCCTCCAGAACTGTGAGACAGTGCATTTCTGTTTGTGGTAGTTTGAGATGGCAACTCCAGCAGATTCATACAAGTTGTGACTGGCTTCTAGAAACACCTCCAGCCCTGCCCCTTCAAGCCCAGAGGTGGTAAGGATTCCTCTGCTACTCCCTGGATGCCTCATCTTCTCTGTGGGTGTCCCTTAAACATACCCACACCCCAACCTGTTCATTCAATTATCTTCAATTATTCTTGAATGTGCCATGTGTTTCCAGATACTCAAGTTTAGATTACAATTATTTTCCAATATACTTCACAAAACTATCGCAAGGGCAAGATAAAGTTCTTTGGGTTCTCCAATTATGTAGATATCTACTGGGAATCTTACATCATTCATAATAGAGTATCTGATACGCTCTCACTTTCATCTGTGGTCCATTTCATCTCACAGGACACTGGGGAAGCCATTAGGGGAAGTGATAGTTTGGATAAAAACTTTGGACCAAGTGTAAGAGTTTGTGGTAACCCAGGCAGGGAACATTGGTTGTAATGAAATGTATGTCCTACACTTTAGGAGCTCAGATGTCAAAAATCTCCAAGAAGCATTAGGGAAGACCCCAGGGCAGTCTTAAAAAGTAAGTTAGCTCAAGAGGAATGGATCTTTTCAGGAATTAAATTCTGACATTGCCCATGAGCAGCAAACAGTACGATGGCTCGTGTTCTCTGAATAATTAATTCTACTTTTAAAAGGACTTGCAGAAAAACAGCAGTGGGAGAGGGGTATGCATGTAACTGAGAATGGACACCAAAAAATGGCCGCTACTTTTAAGATAACTTCTGGCTTTCCCTGCCGACAGCTCACAAACATGGTGTACGCTCCTAAACCCGCCGGACTTTCTGTAGGAAGTGTGGCCAGCATCAACCCCACAGAGTAACGCCAAAAAGAATGGCAAGCCTTCTCTGTGCACTTTGTGGGTTGGCAGGCAGCAGAGTGGCCATGGAGGGTGAACTAAGCTGGTTTTCTGGGGTGGGGGGAAAGTCTAAAACTACAAAGAAGATTGTGCTGAGACTTGAATACGTTGAGCCCAATTGCAGAACTAAGAGGATGCCGGCTATTAAGAGATGCAAGCATTTTGAACTGGGAGGAGATAAGAAGAGAAAGGGTCAAGTGATCTTGTTCTAAGTTTCATATTTTGTTTTATTACTAGTATATAGTTTTATTACTGGTATATAGACAATAAAATCTTGATGTGTTCACTTAGAAAAAAAAAAAAAAAAAGGTAACTTCTGGAAGGGAAATTCCAGACTAGGACAAGTTCGTGAAATTGGGAGTTAGGGGGAGGGAGTGATTTTTTTTTTTTTTTTTTATGGCAGAACTGAGTTTTAATGCTGATTTACACATGACCTCACTCATTTGTGGATAATAAAGAACATTATAAACTGATGAACCAAAAGATAGATATAGAGACAGTATATCAACAAGCAGACTGTCAAATTACAGCGGGGAGGGGAGGAAGATCTGGGGGAGATAGTAGATCAACCGGGAGTGATTTTTTAAAGTTACTTTAAAGCGAGAAGCACAAAACAAGGTACAGGCTTTAAAATATGGGGGGGGGGGGGGAATACAAACTATCTCATATAAAGTTAGAGAACAGGTGTGAAGAACTGAAGCATGCTGGGTGAAAAAGGAGAGCTGGTCAATTCTGGGAACTTAGTCTGGGAATTTGACATTGACTCTGGAAAACAATTTCAAATGGAGTCCTTAAACAGAGGGCTAGTCACTTCTCAGGGGGAGAAACAATAGTCTGTCAGAGTTGGAATAGGTATGTCTGATTCACGCCAAGCTAAAAGTACTTCCTTTTTGATGGCTCTGCATTAACTTACCTGGTTTTAGCACAGCTCTCATGGTGTCCCTCTGAGTGCCATCTCTCTTATCTACACATTTGTCATAAACTGCACATCATTTATTGTATAATAGTTGTTGGACTCTGTGCTAGCCACCAAGGTTACGTAAAGTAAAACCCAAACAGGGTCCCTACGCTCAGTTTGCTTCTTGGAGGGGGAAACATTCCGGATTCTGGGGTTTGTCTCAGCGCCAGCTCCTCCTCTTTCCTAAACCACCCGTGGCTTTCCTGAGCCAGCAGAACCCTCAGCCTCCAGGGCTGCAGTGTGTGTTCCCACTCTTCTGTTCTCACCTACCGAGTGGGGAGGAAACTGGGTTGCAGTTTTCCGTGGCCAACAAGGGGTGTCCTCTTTTGCAAAACGCCCAGAAATGCTACCATTCAGGTTCCATGCAACAGATATTAATTGGCTAATTTCCCTAATTGGCTAACCTACATTTCCAGCCTCACATTCCAAGTCATTCCTTCAGTCACGACCAGCCCCAGCCCTTGGCCATACATTTCCAAGTCTGTGCCTTTTTGCTCAATTGATTTTCTCATTCTGGAATGTCTGGTATATCCTTCTCCACCTCTGGAAATCCTACACCTTTCTCAAGACCCAGCTCCAAAGCGGTCGCCTCCCCGACTGGACTTACTTTGCTCAATAAAATCCTGCACAAGTCCCCACACTTGACTTATGCAGCATGATTGTACTGTCAATTAATTACTGTCTATTAATTATCAGTCAATTAATTACTCTGTCTTCCCCACTAGAGTTAACTTACTTGAGAGCAAGGATCTTCAGAACTCCCATCTCGTCCAGCTACAGCACTTCACAACCAGAGTTGGTAAACTAAGGCCTGAGCCAAAAATAGTTGAAATAATTGAAAAGAAGTTCAACAGAAGAATAATGTATTGTTAAAATTACATGAAATTCAAATGTCGGGGACTGTAAATAAAGCTTTATTGTAACACATAGCCTCTACTTTCTATGATTGCTTTTGAGTTCCAGTGGCAGAGCTGAGTAGTTGAAAAACAATCCTTATGGCCCACAGGTCTTAATACTTACCATCTGACCCTTCACAGAAAATTCACTCACCCTGCTTTACAATAAGGGCTTGACGACCGAATCATTGGGGCCAGACACCAAGATTTCCTTTCTTTGACTAGTAGAGGGAATAACTAGTTTGTCTTTAAGTTGCCCCGAACATCAAATGAGATAATGACTTATTAAAGTATAAAAGCACCATATAAAGATAACCGTGTTTTTCATGTACTGAAAAGACAATAAAGTGGTAAAATAAAAACTTTTATTCTTCCTTCCTTTACAGCCTTTATTTAAACATTGAAACCTATAAAAATTTCACTATTTTCCTTTTAATTTACATTCAATATTATTTTATATTAGTTACAGAATAGTGGTTAGACAATCATATACTTTACAAAGTGTACCCCGATATTTCCAGTACCCACGTGGCATCAAACGTCATTACAACACGATTGACTCTATTCCCTGTTTAAGTGACAATGGGTTTACAGGTTCCTTCCAGTCTTTCTTTTGTGTTGCTCGTCCTTCCTTTCCTTTCTTACTTCTTCCCTCCCTTTCATTACATAGTATCTCAGTTGGCGAAGGCACTGGGCACGCTCCATCCCTCTCACAGACCAGGAAACTGAGGCCAATTCCAGTTGGGGGCGGAACTCGACTCGGCGCGCAGGGAGCCCTCATGGAGTCTACCGAAGCGAACAACCCTCCCGGTCCGGCTTCGGAGCCTCCTCCTCCAGCACCTCTTCGTCGCGGACGCTCCACATTCTTTCCTCCCCCCTCCCTACCCCCGCGCCCCCATTCTTCACTGCCCCCCCTCCCGGGAGCAGGTGGTCGGCTTCGCGCCCACCGCGCAGGCGCGCGCCGCCGCGGGGCGGGGCGGGAACTGGGGGCGGGGCGCGCGCGGCTCGCTTTTGGGCCGCGGCGGGAGCCGGCGTCGCCGCCTCTCGAGTGCGCAGGCGCCTGGCGGTTACCGGTCTCGCCATGGAGCGGAAAGGTGAGCGGCGAAGGGGCCTTCGCCACGAGGGGCAACGGCCGCCGGGGCGAGGCCCGGGCAGCGCCGGGAGCTTCGCTGAGCCGCCGCAGTCGGGTACCCGGCAGCGCGGCGCCCCTCCACTGAGGTGGCGCCGCCCCTGAACCCCCGCCTCAGGGCTGCGGCTCCGCGCCCCTCCGCCCAGGCGTCCTTCCACGCCGGCAGTCATCTCCCCTTGTTCCCCGCCGGGCCGGCCCGCGTCTTGGGGCCGCTGCCGGACCTCGCTCCCCGCGGGCGAGGCGGATCCCCGCCCGCCGGGCCCCTGCCCGGGCCCGAGCCCCCGCCGGCGCACCCCGCCTCGGCGCCGCTCCGCGCCCCGTGGGCCGCCCGCCTCCTGGCCGACCGCTTCGCCGGCGCCCGGGCGCTCGCCCCGCAGCCGCCCCTGCGGCGGACCCCGCAGCCGGGCCTCGCGCCGCTGCTCGGTCTCCACCCGCACCTGGGTCACCTCCTTTCCTCCACACTCGCCCTTCATCCACCCCTCTCTCCTGCAGTGCTTGCGCTCCAGGCCCGAAAGAAAAGGACCAAGGCCAAGAAGGACAAAGCCCAAAGGAAGTGAGTCTGGAACCCCCGCGCCCCGCTCTCAGGGTTTCCTCCCGCACCTCCCCCGGCTCACGTCTCGGACGGGCCCCGGGTTCGGGCCCCCCCGCGGCCCAGCCACATGGCCCCCGGCGGCCTGGTAGGGTCGCTCCCCGCGAACCCGTGGAAGGAAGGGGGCGTCCGTGGCCCGAGGCCCGGCCTGGGTCTCCGCACCCCCGTGCTGCTGCGGAGGCTGTTGGCGGAGGACGGGAGCCCGGCTCCCCAGCTCCGGGGGAGGCACCCGGGCTCCCCTGGCCTGGGCCTCCCCCCGCGCGGAGCTGGTGCATCACTACCCGGCCGGCCCCGAACGCCGGGCTCTCCCAAACCTGCTTCCAAGTCTGCACGGCAGGCCGCCCGGGAGTTCCTGAATGAGGCTGCCGTGTTTTGGCCCCTTTTCTAGGGGAGGGCGAGGAGCTTTCCCCTGGGCTAGTCAGCTTCCTGAGCCTCGGCTCGCGGGGTGCAGACGGACCACGGCGTCCACGGCCGGTTTCTCTCCCGCTCCGCCTCCCCCGGAACCCCCCGCCCTCGCTCTGAACGCAGATGCCTTCTGAGTGGGCATCACAATGGCGACAGGAAAGGTCTCCAGCCCACGCTGTTGGTGATGCTGCTTGGCTGTGTGAAGTGCCCCAGGTCTGGCTTTATCAGCAGGATGCATAACCTGAGCGCTATTGTGGGAAACACAAAAGTTGGACCCAGCTTCGGAGAAACGCCCGGTAGAGGGCTCCTGCGAGTGAGGCTCCTCTCGAGAAGTTTTCTCTCCTACTAACGTTTAATCGCAAAGGGTCTTGGAAATTGTCAGACAGTCTGTGTTGGGGGGGGGGGGGGATGCACTATTTTCTTGGCACTTTTCCGTTTACTTGATGATCCGTGGAGTTGTCTACCATCTAGTTCTTTCTGAGCTGATGAAACGCATGTCAAGGCTTTTCCTGGGTTGCCCTACTGAAGGGACAGTGCCAGGTAGGGGTGTATGTTATTGGTGGCCACCTAGTGTTTCAGAGCACATAATGACTTCTGTCACTAGAGCTGGTGGTAGGTGACCTCACCTCTTGCTCCATTTCTATCAGCTGTCTTAGGAAATTTCTTGTTTTGTCAAGTGCTTGGTGACCAACGCATTTAAATGTGAGTTAGCCATGCATGGATTATTGAAAAAACAATTCCCACATTGGTTTAATGGAAACAGCAAGGAGCTAACCTGATTCTAATATGCAGTGGGAATTTAAAATGTTACTCATTTTCTTTTTGTATCTTAGTTTTGTTATTCTCTGTGGAGCTGATATGAATATGTTATAAAACATTTTTTGCTGATGTAAGGAGGCGATGATTTTGTTATTTTCCGTATGAGAAGTCCTCAGTCCTGGTCTTCAAACACGGAAATTAATTTTTATATTGGCCTGAATCTATAATTTGGGAGGTATATAGATATAGATGATCACATACTTTATTTTTACACATATTATTTATTACTTTGGATTACCTACTTAGACTATATGCCTTATTCTAAAACTCAATTATATGTACTTTATCAGTTACCCCTCCATTTACTAATTAAACCTACTTATTTCTGTTCTTAATTATTTCCATACTTGCGTAAAAGCAAGTTAATAGTACAGATAATCTACAGTTATTTTGCTGATATTTAATCCTATGGAACTTTGACTCCTGAAATGTATGTGAATGGACCAATACTATTTACTTGTAGAGTCAAAGGTGCTTTATTTATTTATTTATTTATTTATTTATTTATTTTCTTCAATTAATACCCTTTCTTAATAATTTTACCTTTTTTTCCTCTAACCTCCTCTTAAGTAGCTGAAATGTCTAATTAATTAAGTTGGTTCGAGTACAAGCCCCACCTGACTCAGGTAACTTAACTCTGTTCCATGACTCTTGATTCCAGTCATTTCGCCAAGGCAAGCTGTTAGTTACCAGGAGATGATCAGGGAGAAGGTCTGAGGAAGAAGCATACCATAGAGTTTGGTCAGAGTTAGATCTGGTTTGAATTTTGATTTTGCCACTTTTTAGCAATTTGTCCTTTGTAACTAAGTTAAGAAATAATCTTACACGCTCTTAATGTCTGGTAGCTCAGTCATAATGAAAATTGATAAGGACCAAGCATTTAAATGAAAAAAATTTAGAAACTTTTGAAAGTACAACAGTAATGGCATCCTGGTAATTTAGTCATGGTATGAGACAGGCGGAAGTGCTTTTCGGTCCCCTGGTTTTGTAGATCTTAAACCTAGCATCTGCATACTAACTAGTACATGAAACAATACACCCATGGAGCTGGAGCGGGTTGTAGCAGGGTCAATACTGGAATCAGGGCTCTGCCTTGAGCTTAGGGTGTTTCCTTTGGGGTCATATACTGTGTTGAAAGATTTTACTTTGAGGATTTTTAGTTGTCTTATTTGAGGAAATCCTCCTTCATTTCACTTTTTCAGACTCTACTCTTACATTAACCTGTTGGTGATAATCTGTATTTTACTTTGTAGATAAGGAAATTGAGATTTATAAGTTACTCCCCTATAAAATTGTCAAGTTAGGATTCCAACCGGAGTTGACATATCCCAAAGTATACTGCTGTCACCAAGTGACGGTTTCTTTCATTGTGCGGAGGACAAATAAGGCAGAGGCTGAGTGAAGGCGGCGTCTGAATAAGGGACCTCTGGATGCCTTAGGCACCCTTCCATGCCCACTGATGATTCTCTGAGAGGGCAGAGTGCTCTGTCTGCCTTTGAGCTTTTGGTTTTCAATATGTATACCAGTAGCTGGAGGTTTTATAATTTAACAGTTAAACTGCTTGTGAAATTACTTCATGAAATATAATTCCTGAATGGATTTTATATGTAATAATTTTATTAGGAATTTAATCTGGACAGTAATTTTTACTTTATTTGCAGTTAAAGAACTTTGTGGGTTTAGGAAAAATTTAGTAGCTGGAGAAGTGTTTTTTCTTATTCTAGTACTTAACTTCTATGGAGGCAGAGCGGAGATGGTTTTACTTAATTTTCCAAAAATGTAATTGTTACATTAAAAATTTAGAAGAGAAAAATACTTTTAAATTTCCAAAATTTTTATCCAGCAGTGAGTAAAGTACATAAGCCAACTTTTAAAAAGTTAAATGGTATTGCCCTGGCTCATGTGGCTCAGTAGAATAAGCATTATCCTATGCACCAAAAGGTCACCTGTTGGATTCCCAATCAGCGCACATACCTGGGTTGCAGGTTCGATTCTCGGATTAGGGTACATGCTGGAGGCAACCAATCAATGTTTCTCTCTCCCTCTCCTTCCTTTCTAAGTCAATTTTAAAAATCTGTTTTTAATTAAACGATATTGGGTCCTTTTTACACTGAACAGTGTCCCTTGGAGATTGGTTCTGTATCAGTTCCATATAGTGCAGTCTTACGACATTTTTTTTTAAATAATATATTTTATTGATTTTTCTTACAGAGAGGAAGGGAGAGAGAGAGAGCTAGAAACATCGACCAGCTGCCTCTTACACACCCCCTACCGGTGATGTGCCCACAACCAAGGTACGTGCCTGCAACCAACAAGGTACATGCCCTTGACCAGAATCGAACCTGGGACCTTTCAGTCCACAGACTGACGCTCTACCTCTGAGCCGGTTTCGGCACGACATTTTTTAAAGTCTGTTTTTTGTTGTTAGGAAGATCACTTTATCAAGTTTTTCAACTACTTTGACACGAAGTAATTTTAGAAAGTTATCAGAAAGCACAAAATAAGTTAAATATACTTGGTTCATTTTCAGAGAAGCATAGTAGTAGCACTGTTCACCAAAGCCAGTTGGCAGGAGCATATGATAAATCATGTTGATTTGTACCAATGCATGCCTTTATTTGTACAGATGAAGATATAAGGCCAGGTGCTATTGGGTTATTTATTTATTTAGGGCAGACAGGCAGATAAGACATCGTTTTGTTGAATGCATTTACGTACACATTCGTTTGTTGCTTTTTTTATGTGCCCTGTCTGGAGAGTAAACCTGCAACCTTGGCATTTTTGCGCCAATGCTCAAACCAAATTGAGCAACCTGACCAAGACTGCTGTTGAGTCCTAACATTTCGGTGGCATAGTGCATTGGACAATATTGATAGGTATTCTAGGATAGCTTATCAAGGAACTTGAGGACATTTAATATATATTTTAATACTATGTAAGAACTGTCACTAATAGCAGTAAACAAACATCAATGACATAAAGTTTGGAGTTGGTACAATGAGTCATGTTGATTATCTTTTATATTATTTACTTTACTCAAATTCTAAATGTTTTGAGTGACACTAGGCATTTTAAAAAAGACTCCTAGTCCTTGAGAACTTTTGTTTCCTGAAATACTAGGGTAGGCTTTGTTTTGTAACTGATTAAAATGTAATTTAGGGGCACTCCTATCTTCTCATTGACTTCACTCTTAATCCCTTGTTGCTCTTCAGCCTGTGCATGTCTCTTTCAACAAAGCAGTTTGATCAAAGATGCAGGTTCTGTCTATACATGAATTTGCTCTCTTGATATTCTAGTACTCATTTTAATGTTTTTATTGATTTTTTAAAAATATTTATTTCAGAGAGGAAGTGAGAGGGAGAGATAGAAACATCAATGATGAGAGAGAATCATTGATTGGCTTCCTCCTGCACACCCCCATCTTGTGGGGGCATGTGCCCTTAACGAATGGAATGCAGGACCCTTTCAGAGTCTGTAGGCCAACACTCTATCCACTGAGCTAAAATAGCCTACGGCTTTATTGATTTTTTTTAGAGAGAAACATTGATGTAGAGAGAAACATCAATCCTCTACCTCCTGCATGCTCCTATGCATGTCTTAATCTGTGTCTATGTTTCTCTTTTTCATTGAGACACTAGTTATATGGATTATGGGTCATCCTAATGAATTCATCTTAACTTGATTATCTCTATAAAGATCCTGTCTTCAAATTACCTTCTGAGTTACTGGAGATTAGGACT